TAAATAGTCTGAAGTTTGAATTTTTAAAAATTGGATCATGCCATGTGTTATAGTGTTAAAAATTCATATTTTTAGAAAATTAAAATGTTAGTACAGAATGTAAACAAATAACCAGATTAAGGTTATATAGTATGAATTTTTAGCAGCAAAAATAGAAATTATATTTATTAGTGTGGCAAATATTTTATTGTAGTTTGATTCTTTCAGTTCAGAGGACTATCTTACTTCTGATGAAGAAGGTAAACTCGCCAATCCAAACAAGCCAAAAGAAGGAAGTAAAAAGAGAAAAGGAACATCTCCAATGAGACTTAGGTTTCCCTATGACTACAATGCCAAAGATGGCCATGAGGGCATGAAGATCCCCAACATGGATATGGGTGGGATGAAGAACATGACATTTCCACTTCCACATGGTGCTGCTGGCCCAAGCCATGGGTTGCCTGCTCAGAGCAACACTATTTTAACAACTCCGACAAGAGGGCGTCCTCGTGGAAGCAAAAATAGAGGGGGTGCTTCAGGCCGTGGCAAAAAGAAAGAGAGGGCACTGCTGATGAGCCAGCTGGGATTGGAGATGAAGACAGAGCGGATGGAGGGAGATAGAGATGGGTATGGAGGGTTGAAGAAAGAAGAAGAAATGGGCAGTGGTGGCGTGTATGCTGGGAAGACCATCCCTAACATTCCTCAACAGTTTGTGTCTGAGTCTGTGGTGGTCAGACACCCCTTACAGGTGGGAAGCCCTCATGGCATGGGGCAGCAGCTAGGGCACGATAAAGGTATGGTAGGAAAGCAAGAAGGTTCAACACCAGGCCCTGTGCCTACTTCGACCCCTACACCCACACCTGATGGAAGGGGACAGTTGCAGTGGCAACAGCAGCAACAGGTGGGAATGAATCAGTCTGGCGGAGGAAATACTGGTGAGTACATGGCCAACATGAATCGACAACTACACACACCTACCTCAGGTGCTGGCGCCAGCAATGTTGGTTCTGGTGATGTTCAGCAGACCATGCATTACAAACCAGGCACTCCTGATCAAGCACTTCATCATGCTTGGGCTGGAGGTAACTGGCCACGATTGACCTTAACCTCTGAACCTATACCTAACTCATATAACCAGGTGGATGCGTCACGATTTATGAACATCTACAGTGCATCAAAAGTAATGGAAATGCGAATGGCTGATCTGCGCAATCCACAAGGTTTCGACGGAGGCCAGTGGAACAATCAAGGACGTCGTGATCAGGGACAGGATAAAGGAGATAACAGAATATATACCATGCATCAGTGAGTCCATTGTCACTGTAAGCAATAGCATCACTAAACTTAAGCACAACTCCTGCCACAAATTTAATGTGACCATAGGAAGCAAAACTTTCGAGTGACAGCTAAATAAACATTGCTTTAATGAGTAGGAGATACCCTCTCTTGATACACTGTTTAGAACAGGGACATCCCCCCTCAATACTAGGGCAGATAAGCCGCCCTCTCTCTCTCTGTGCACTGAGATGTTTATGTCTTCCGACAGCTGCTGCCCTTAGATCTGAGCAATTAATGATCTTTATATTCTTTCTACAGTTTCCCTAAATGGGGAGAGATACACAAAACATAAACAATAGAAAGCGAAACTAAACTAGTGGATTAAAGCAAAAGAGATATGCTGGCAACAAAACCATATCAAATCTAGAAAGCTGTGTGTTGTCACCTTGTTCATACATTTCTAAAACGTGCTTTATTGTCAGATGTTATATTTCATATAGGCACATGATAAACTGAATCTCTGAAGAGGTAGGTGCACTGGAAGAGAGGTGAAGACTTGGAAAATATATATGCATATGCTGTTAGTGGAGGCGAACAAAACTTGTATTCTTCATAATGGCAAATTGGTGGGACCTACACTGTTGTGTACAGTTCACTCCAGTGAACTAGGTGGATGTATACTTTAGAAATGTTCATTATTTAAGAGATGGTGTAAACTGAGTAGGCTCTTCCTTTTCCTCTCCTTTCTTACCCCTCTTCTACTATTCCTCTTTCAAAAACATAGGCCCTACATTTTTTTTAACACTATTACAAATAATTTTTAAATAGTAAATTAAAAACAATATCTGTGAAACTGAACCCATGTACATTTTTTTTATCCTTGTAACAGGCAGGAACAAAAAAGAGAATTTTTCCCCACTAACTTTTTTTTTGTTATCATATATTACATAGCCATTATATATATATATATATATATATATATATATATATATATATATATATATATATATATATATATATATATATATATATATATATATATATATATACACATAGCTATTTAATGCATAGTTAATTTAAACATGTTTTTGTAAACAGTTTTTTGATGACCTGGTGTTTTCTCACTAATTTCCTTGTTAATCTGCTCATCAGAAAGTATGCTGTGCTGGTGTAATATAAAGATTGATTTTTTTTTTTTAATATGCCTTTTTAAACATGATAATTATGTGACTTTTTTTTAATTTTTATGGTAAACTTGCTAGATGGAGAAAAAAGAAGGGGGAGGAAGTTCTTAATGGTGCAGCTGAAAGTGTCCAATGAACTCCCTTAGTAATAGGAAACTATCATTGAGTCAAATGTAAGCCTTTTATGTTACTGTCCCTGACTTGCAAGAATAGATTGGGGCTGTCTCTTAATATATTATTACCCAGTACTGTGGGGGGTGGGGGCATTTGCAAATATCATTAGAAAAGTTAGTCATTTACAGTGTTTTATACTTATTACTTAAAGCATAAACCTGGGGCTTGTGCTAATCTCTTAGTGTCTTTTAACCTTTGACCTCAGTAAACTCCACCCATATTTTGGACTAGAATAAACAATTTTTCCTTTAAAAAAATGATATTTGACTAATTACTCCTTTTTTGATTAGGATCTTATACCCTGAAAAAAAAATAGGTTAATATAAACAATTGAGAAAAATAGATTAATTTTCCAGAATAGTTCTTGAGTTGTGTTCTGTTAGTAATTTGTATTTAGATGAATGAACATTGAGTTTTGCTCTGAAGTAATTACTTTATGGATAACTTATGTGAATGAATTCATAATGGTACACAATAAACCAAAGTTTTAATCTAATGTCTGAATTATTTTTTAAGGTTATATATTTATATATATTTATCTTCAGATTACATTGGCAATTGTACTTTTTTTTTCAAATCAATACATTATTTTAAATAAATTCTATATTTGGTTGACAAATATCAGAAATAAAGGGTTGGCAAGTAGAAATATTAAGTTTTGTGAATACTTGTTTATAAGATTATTGTAATTTAAAGAAAAGTGTATGCAATTGATTTGGTTTTCATTTGTACAAGATACCAGTGTCCCATGTCTTCCTTCCCTTGTGCAGTTTTAGTTTGTTGTAGCTCTACATTTTGTTGCAGTAACATGTAAGGCTGATGTGATCTAAGCCTGTGTCTTTTAGGTCCTATTACATTATTTAAGAATCAGCAGGAGAAACCAATTAATTTATTTCATGTAGCATGACTTGTACAATACTGGTTTTATATTTAACTACTTTGCTGTTAGATTTCACTTGAGTTTCGATTTGTAAAATTTCTGTTGCTAGAAGACTCGTTTGATGCTTTTTTTTTTTTTTTTTAAATACATAAATAAACTTTATGAATAGTTCAAATTTCAATGCTCTTTGTTGGTCAGAAACAACTAAGCATCCTGCAGGCTTATAAATAACAAGCGAACATAACTAAGCAGTTGTTTTCCATTGTACCAAAATATAAGGGACATAACTGATATTAATGATAATGCATATTTTAACACTTTATGCCATTTAAATTTTTGGAGGCAAGAAAAATGTCTTATAAATACATGCTAAATAATTGGATGGGGGGGGGGGGGGGGGGTCAACTGAGGGTTGCATATATTTGATTGTCATGGTCTAGTACATGTTGAATTTTCGGTTCTTGTCTATTACATCATTTGTTAAATACTGTTAATAGAAGAAAAAAAAAAAAAAGTAAAGCTAATTACAATTTGAATCAAGCAGAAAGATACATTTGATTAAAAAACGGTCATAAATAGTTTGAGGCTTTTATTTCACTTTGTGAATTCTCTGCAATATAGAAAGTAATAAATAACAAATATTGGAAAGTTATTTTTTTTCCAGTTTTTATCAAGTGTTTTGTGATAAAGCTCTCTAAGTAATGTCATTGATGTGTTTCAGTTTTTGTTAGCAAGGTTGTGATGTTCATAGTTTGTGGACAAATACACAGATTTGTTTTCTGTTCTCATTCATTTGTAAGACATTTGCGTACTGGTCTATAGAGTATAGCATTGAATTATCTGTGGTATTGGAATGGAACCTGTAACTGTAAAATAAGGGAGGGAGCATTCTGAACATGTCTGCTTCTGTTTGCTAACCATTTATAACCTAGCTTGATTGACAGGCAATTCATTTTGCTGTCAAGTAGCATTTAGCTTGAGCAGAAGTGGTATGCAGACCGATGTGTTCTCCATAGTGTACATACTATGCATTGTGAATGCTCGAGAGATTATTTGATACCCAATCTGATATTTGTTATAGAAGACACTATTCTCATTACCAACTACTATATTTTAAGCATATATGTAGGTGGGAATATACATTGTTTTGAAATGTTTTAAAAGAATAATTGTTATAGAATTGTTAAAAGCTGCTTTGTTTCTTTCACTTCAGCTATAATCATTGCTGGATACAATAACTAGTTGACTGAGTTTTACAGAACAAAAAAATTGGTTTGGACTATATTCATATATGCCAGTTTCTATAGATTTTATAATAATATACCTTTTTTTGTTTCTCCTATTATTTCATTTATAGCATAGGTTGACTTGTATTTTATATGTATTTTAAGTAACAAATTGGTAGACACTACATTATGGATTTTGTGAGATTTCTGTTTCTTTCTACTTAGATTAGCCAAGGTTAGGACCTAAAAAGACATTTATCTTACCACTTAGGTTCAATGGTACATGTCACTTAGATTAGGACCTAAAAAGACAATTATCTACATGTCACTTAGATTAGGACCTAAAAAAGACAAATATCTGACCACTTGGGTTCAATGGGTTCATTTCACTTAGATAGCTAAGGTTAGGACCTAAAAAGACATGATACATTTTGTATTGGCAGCATTGAATATGCTGGTGTAATACTGTACATAAGTAATACTATGTTCGATATAATAATTATATATACATATAATAAGTAAATATATATAATATATATTATCATATAAAATGATTTAAAATACCTTCTTGTTGATTTGATAACTACATTTTATATTCTCATATTTGAGCAACTTATAAATGAATTGTATATTATTAGTGTGACGTTTTAATTTTTCCTTCCTAATTTGGTATTTCATTGTAACCTTTAAATTTCTATACAAATAATTTCATCTTTTACAAATAACTGTTTGTCCTTGCACTTTGTCCAGTTGTTTGGTTTGTACAGTGTACAAGGTTTTAGAGTGACAGAATGGTAGGCATCAGTATGTACAGTCTACAATCCTAGAATATATATTTTTTTTTGTTTTGTGATTTGTTTGTCATGGCATTGTATTATACAGAACATTTACATATACAATAAAACAATTTTTTTTCAAACTCTTTTTTTCTTTTTGGCTCATGTTGGTTAAAGTTTTTTAATTCTGTTGACATTAATGTAGACCCAGAATTAGCTAGGACAGAAGTGTATATTTACATAATTATTGTTCATAATGCTTTTTGGTATCAATACAAAATAAAATGACAGGCCTAGTTTCAACTATCATTTCATGTAGGGGTGCTGTGACAGTTCATGTAACCCAATCCCTAATTTTTTTTGGCCAGCCACTGTTCTTAGGATATCAAGAGAGGCTGGTCCATTCTTTTACTTTGTCTAAACAGCTTTTCTTTGGTCATGTCTTACATTATGACCAAACCAGCTCAGCTTTTGTCTCTTCGAAGTATTCGGGAGTTTTTTTTTGCCAGCCAGAGTCTTGACAGTAAAAACTCAAATTTGTCTTCTTTTTCTGGTATCTGATAGACAATTTTTTTTTTGTAGCAATTACTCTCAAAGGCCTGAATTTTCTTTCAGCCTCAGTAGGGAAGAATACAGCTTTATTTGGACTTGGAAGCTGATATTTATAATTATTAAACCATATCAGAGGGTTCAAGTGATAATGTATAGTGAAAATGTCATGTCTGTGCAGTTAATTATTAGTATCTAATGTTTATGTATACATGAATTAAGTATCCTTAAGATTTATTTGGGCATATACATTGAATTGAACCACTAAATCTACAAGATGACTAAGTAAAGAACTGTCTTGGGATATTTATATTATGGGCAGAACATACATTAGACACTGGATCATTTAACCAACTGGTGAGTATATTGAGGTTGGTATCCTTTTTCTAGTAATTTGTTGTACTTTTTGGTGTGTAAAAACTGTATTGCTTTTACCTGACTTAAAAAAAACATGAAAAAACGTCATTAAAAAGATTTATTACAAACATAACTAGATCTCTATCAAATTAATTTAAAAAATACATTTTTTTGGTCTACAATTTTCCTTGTAATATGTTTCCTTTATGTAACACCAGTATCCAAAATAAAAATTAACTACTTACAGCAAAAGCTTTCCATAAGTACCCACCAATTACTACTTTGACTGCTCCACATGGATTCCAGATGACAAATTTATACCAATGCAGAATAATTATAAACATAACATTTAGAATCTGTACACAAAACGAAGACCTTCAGAAATAAACATATAGAATCAGTTTGTTCACAAAATGAACACCCTCATAAATAATACCAGTAAGTCTTGTTAACTAAACAAACTCAAATAAATATTAAGCAATTGTCTATCACTTAAAAACCTATTCACGGGATCACAGTGGTTTTTCACACAGTGGATATCAAATTAGCTCACCAGCTTAAAAGCCTTGATTAATATTGCACAGTGCTTCAAATTAATTTCTACATTTTTTAAACAATGGACCTCTCAAATCAAGGACGTGAAAAATATGTTGCAGTCATATCATATATAGTAAAAGGTAGAACTATTTATGAGTCTCAGCTATCTTACTATAACTAAACTTCTTTTCTTTGACAGTGTTTTCTTACAAATAAACCTACAGGAAAAAAGATCAGTGAAAAACACATTGGAAAGTCTGCTTCAACCTTTTCTAGACTGAATATTCTTTGGTTTTTGGAAAATGCTTATGCTACCACAAAAACAGATAAAGGTTTACAAAGAGCACACTACTTTGGTTAGGCATAGACTACATCGGCTGAAGAAAACGAACCGTGACACATCCACACAATGTTGTATCCAGAAATTCAGATGGCAAGACAAACCAAGGGATACAAAACCATGATCGACTCCCCAGTTTATTCACACCACCCCAAATGGATATACAATTCTGATATTTAGAGGCTAAACTACCACATACATTTTATGGGTTAAAAGTGATTCTCAGAGGAAATTGGTTATAAACTCACCACCCTCATCTCTAACACATAATCCGATGCTAGTGGACACCAGCTGTTGGGAAGATCTAGCTCTAGACCACACTATGTGGAGAGATGTGGTAACACCACAAATGAACCCCAGACACTGAATTTCCTGATCATTTAATACCTGGACATTAACCCACCAGACAATCTTTAATAAAGCATTGAGTAATGCTGCTATCAAAGCAGCAACCTTAAGAATGCCCCACTCAGTTCATCTAATAAGGTATTCTTACATTGGTAACATTGTGATGCCCCTCCCACAGCTTGGAAGATGAAGCTCTAAATTACACAGTGCTGTGACACTACAAACTATACACAGAGAGACAAGGATAGACACCACCAATTATGAAAACAAGAGTATGGAAGATGGTAAAGCTGACATCTTGTCAGAAGCAGAAAAAATTACCAATTACATGCAGAAAGAAACTCTGAGTATCTCAGAAATTCATTTTTTGTATTTAGTAATACTGGTACCGTGAAATGGGGTGACTTTGCTTCAAGAAATTGTTTATGTTGAACAATAAGATAAGTATTTTTTTTCCAATATAAAAATAAAAGAGCTTTTCAACTAGAGATTTCTCAGACAAATAGATTTGAACAAGACATTTAACTGAAGAAAGGCAAAAACAAATATAGATATAGAAAATAGCTAAAATCAGATTATAAAAGAAAATCCAATGCAACTCTTTCAGAGTCAATAAGAGAATACTCCTTCAAGCGTGTGTCTCCTTTACATCTAAATGGAATGTGGCATCAACAATACACATTTGACTCTTCCCCTCAAACATTTTGAAGGGTCCATTGCTACGCTAAACGAATGACAAAATAAATATAACTGAGCTTGAACCTGGGAATACGGTAAATAAACACTATTCTTATGTATCAAACCAACAAACATAGTTGAGTTGCAATTAATTAATTAAAAAACTTTATAATAAATACTGACAAATGTCTTCTGTCTTACACATAATGAAAGTGAACTGGCCTTAAATGAGAAAAAAATATTTTTCTTTCATCCAGGATGTCCATAATTAAAAGAAAAACGTCTTGTGGACCACAAATAAAATGCCCATGTACATTCAAAAGAATGAGCTACCAATAAGTTATAAATGTGACAAAGTGAAAACCAAGCGATGTGCAGATCACAACACCAGTATCTACTTCATTAAAACCATGCAACTAATCTAAATGACATAAAATAGTCATTTTTTCAGCTTGGCTACTGTAAAAAAAAATTACAATAAAAGACACAAAAATAATATATTTATGTTTTTCAAAACACAAAAATATTTTTACGTTTGAATGTATATTTCAATATCTATTATCCATTGCTATATTAGTAATAGCTACAAATGAATTCAGTCAGATCCTGTGGTGATGATCACTACAAATCAAATTTTTGTTTATCTCTAATGCTCCATCAGTTGGAGGGAGAGAGTGGACCTCCTTTGCGGACTATCACCATTCACACAAATGGTACAAGACATAGTAGTTCTACCACTGAGGGTGGGCCAGCTTAACCCTAACCAAAAACTTTATTATATTATTCAATAACATTAATAAGTTTTAATAAGAAAAAAAAAGACATTTGTTGTATTAAACGCAAATTACATAATTAAACATGTCTACCCAAATGAGCTGGGTAGACTCAGGATGGTTTAAGTTTTGACTTATATTAATCCTTAAAAACCTGTCAACTTCTATTATCTGGATATGATAACAGTTTATAAATCTTATTCACGTCATTCTCAACATACAAGACACACGTCATTCTCAATATACAGGCCAAGTTATCCTTTTCTGAAACTCAAATTAAAAAGAAATACTTAAGAACAGTTTGATAACGAGAAAATAATTTAAAAACCAAAAATAAACATTCATGTAACTCAGGGAAAATACTGATCAGCTCTCACTGAGCTCTGGTCTCAAGTAAATTCATGCACATAATGTTAAAATGCAAGAAAGAGATTAACAAAATCCAATGCCATCTAACAACAAGTCAGTCTTCAAAGTTGGCGTAAAAGCAAACATGCTGCCTGGCAGTCTACATCTCCTCACTATTCAGTTAGGCAATCAAATGTCTCAGGAGTGAAGAGCAAGTACAACTGAGAACTTCCTATTAGATATTTCAGATGTTTCTTCACAAATGATGATTATTACCTGCAAAATGGCAGGGAATGAAAGCAGAGAGAGAGTTCAAACATGAGTGCATGACCAAGCAAGCTTGCGAAGGTATTGTGTGTCCAGCACAACTCCCAGCTCTGATGACCATTTCATGTTTAAGGAAACCAGATACTTCAGTAAAGAAAAAAAAAATCTTTCAAGTTAGAATGATTTGGCCAGCTCTGAGGGTGACTAGTCACAAAAAAGAGTAATCCACCAACTCTGACAACTTATACTGAGGTAATAAGTGACAAGATTTTCAGCTTTTTGCATGATATGTTCCTACATTGGGCAAAGGCAACACTTTATCAACATTCTAATCAATTGATTTTCGAACATGTGCTGTTTATTTATCAACATTTTCAGCCCAGTGCATGCTGCAAAGAGGATTAAGCTAAGTCCCTACATGATGACAAAATATTTTTTTTTTCACCCTGATTTTCAGCAAGGTATGGGAAGACAACTCTTCAAAGTGTTTTTTTTTTTCAACGTAGAAATATCTGAGTTCAAGAATGTGTCAAAAATAAACAAAATATAACATATTTTTTCATTTATTCACACAAACTGCAATTCTGCACCAAGACATTAAAAAAAGGGATAAAAACTGGTAAATACAAAGAGAGCTTTTGGCAAAAAAAAAAATATGGAAGAACATTTAAAAATGTGTCCTATTATACACACACACACATTATTCATAAAATTCGAATCTACTCAAATTGAACACACTAAAACAAAAGGTGCCAGTAGATTCTAACAACTTACTGGGAATTAATATGTTAGGAAGTGAGATGACTAAATTTAGTAGATAGCTTAGTAATGATGATTTTATGATAGGTTGTGTCAATAGCTCATTGATAAAAGAAAAATGCCAAAAGTTAAAAAAAAAAAAAGTTCAACAGCATTAGAAATGTTCCGCATAATGTGAAAATGTTTA